GATTTTTGTGTTCTTGTTATGCATTAAAAAGCAATGTTGATTTGTTTTTTCGAGGATTCCGTCATAAGGTATCCCACCTTTTGATCTTCCTCCGCACTACCCAGCGACCCGATGCCCGGCCCAAACTCGCTTCCAGCCTGGTCGGATGTAGCAAGGGATGGCCGGGCAGGTGGTGGGATCAGGGTAAACTTTGCACCCTGATTCCGAATATGAGCTTCAATTCTCCAAAGCTCTTCTTAGAAAGAAATTAAGGCTGGATTGCAGTATCAGGTCTTGGGTCGGATCGCATACCTGTCCAAACCCAAGCCTGGAAAATCAATTTTTTATATCCAAGGCATGGGATCTGCCTGGATCTGCCAACATATTTTTTTTTCAAAAGGTTCCAAGGTTCTTGGAAAAGACAATATGTACGCACGGGTCGCTTGTACATAGATTTATAAGCAGCTCTCTCATGAGGGTTTGTTCCTCATCAAATACGATACACAACTTTTATACAACAACTTCGTTAAAACTATCTACGAATCTAAAAAGTGTACAAACACTTAACCTTGAAGTCTAAACCCATAGAACTCTGTAAGGGCCCCGTTACAGTGGTAGCGAGAGCTAAAAAGTGGAATTTTTTTGCGACATTGCCCTTCGTGTCTTTGTGACTTTGATTGAAGCAGGTTGACTGACCCTTGCTCGATCCCTTTTTTTTTCTTTCTGGGATCGTAGAATTTTTTTGCGCAGTCATCTGTTGTCTTGCGTGACTTTCTGTTCTGCCCTCTAATTTGGATAGTGACGTACGTTGGGCTTTGCCGCCAATTTTTTCTATAGATCTGAGTGTCTGATTTGATATCAGTTGACTTCTGGGGCGGGTTAGGCTGATTCGTTTGATTGATGTTTTTATTGTGATTGTTTTGTTGTTTTGTGTTTTTTGATCAATTGAGTAGCATGCCACCTAAGTCTACCTCAAACGTTACTGTCCGCCAAAAGTCTCGGGTCATCGCGGGAGCCCCTCGTCCAATGAATGGCTCTTCTTATTCCGCTGAGGAGATCGAGACACTCACCCCGCAGCAAGTGGCCTGGGTGGAGGAAAACCCTGATTTTTGGAGTGAAGCCGAGGATGATGATTCCGGCCAAGAGGAATATGAAGATGTTCCCCAGGATGGGGATGGCCGCTTTGTCGAGAATTACCCTTCCGAGGACTCCAAGGTCGCCGTGTCGTCTTCTACCGCTGCTGGTCGTTCGGTGTCTTTGCCTGAGGAGCCGGCTGTCGTCCACTCTGATGGCATGGATGTGGACAGTAACGAGACTGTGAAACATCCTCGTCGTGATGTTAGTTATCGTGGACAAACGTATCCTCGCGTGTTGGTCTTTGCGGCAGGCGGGGATGTGGGTCCTCCCACTGAGGATAGGAATGCCTCTGTGGCTCCTCCTGCGGACTTTGCTCGTCCGAATGTCGCCGATTATGGTCCATTGCCGGCTCAGGTTTATTTAACTGATGTCACGAAGGCGATGAAAGGCTGGAATCGTGACATTGTACCAAACTTTAGCGGTACTGACAGCAAAGAAGTCCGTAATTGGTTGAACAAGTTGTCAATTGAATTGGCGGTTCGTTTTGTCCACCCGGTTATCTGGCATCAAGTCGGTATCCGTTGCCTCGTTGGGAAAGCTCGCGAGGACTACAATGATGTTATGTGTGCTGGCCGTGACCCTCGTAGTTGGAATTCTTTTGCGGACTGGTTGATCGACCTCAACCCTGAGATGTCCAATAAGGCTGCTGTCGCTGCTGAATACGCGGCCCTTTGCATGAGGCCTAATGAAACGGCTCAGAACTTTTACAATCGGTTCCGAGATTGGCAGGTCAAAGCGAACATATATCACTATTCACACGATCCTTGTACGGGTTTTGTGGAGCGATTGGTTCCGGACTTACGCTTAAGGATTGAAGACCATGTGGCGGCGGAGGCTAATCGTCAGACTCCAATGGATTTCCCTTGGATCGCTACTTTCACCATGGATACTGATCGTCGGGCTAAGATGGCGGCGGCGGAGGCTTCTAAGTGTTTCTCTGGTTCGCGGAGTGGTTTTCCTGGCCCATCCGGTTCAAAGAAAGAGGCCGATTCCAGAGAGGGTTTGTCTGGGAAGAAGAGGTCGGACGGAGCGGTTCAAAACTGTTACAATTGTGGGAAGCCGGGTCACATTAGTGCAAAGTGTCCCCATCCGAAATCCAAGCGCCAGCGTCAATATGAGGCGTCTGCTGCTGGGAAGTCTTTAAATGTGTAGTCGACGCGGCAACGTCTCGCCCGTCGACATGTGAAGATGCTTGTAATTCTGTCGTTTCTGTTGTCTGTGATAATAAATCGTCTGTCTTTCCT